GAGCCCCACCTAATAACATGAATTTGGCAGAAGGAAATACAACCATAATTGTGACGGTGTTCACAGGGGTCTTAGGATGAGGGAAGAGACATAGATCTGACTCCATGTTTCAGAAGGCTTGATTTATTATTTTATGATATTTATTACATTAAAACTATACTAAAAGAATAGAAGAAAGGGTTTCATCAGAAGGCTAGGCTAAGAATAGAAAAGCAAAGAATGATAACAAAGGCAGCTGTCTCGGACTCTCTCTCTGAGCCAGCTGGGCTGTGATTGGCCATTAATTATAAACATCCAAGATGGGCCAATCAAAGATCCACCTGTTGCATTCCACAGCAGCAGATAACCATTGTTTACATTTTGTTCCTGAGGCCTCTGAGCTTCTCAGGAGGAAAAATCCTAAGGAAAGAATTTTTCATGAAAAGATGTCTGCGACACATAATATGCGAAACACAATCTCCAACCAACAATGGGAAAATATACTTACTCAGTTTTCAATATATCTGTCTCATTCCGCTATAAAAGAGGGGATCAGGGAGGATTTCTTTTCATAGGTTTCTCTGACAAAAAGAAAGCGCAAATGTGGCAATATTATATCTGAGAACTGTTTATTGATAAAAAAGAGTAAGTCTTCCTACAAAGGGGGATAGGAAAAGTAGCAGAAAGGGGAAAAAGAGAGGGAGAAAGAAGACAGGGACAGCACTACCACAAGAACCCTGGCCCTCTGTCAGTGTTGGCTTGGCAGACAGAGCGTGTGTGCTGTGAACCGCGGTATGTCTGCATAGCTCCCATGGTGAACTGGATGCTATTTCCAAACAGCAGCAGGCTGTGTGTTCCTTCCATCAGGGAGAACAGGCTGCTGTGGCCATGGGCGCACTCCTGGAGCAGCCGTGTGTTCTCAGGGTCGGGGCACTGCGGCTGCAGGCACAGCTGAGTGCAAGCAGCAGTGACAAATTGGTTGCTACGGGTTACTGCTACAGCAGGTTGGTGCGGCAGGCAGCGCAGGAAACACAGCAGCAGTGGCTGTGCACAGGAAACGCAGCAGAGGTGGCTGGCTGCAGCGGCACCCGCTCTGTCGGGGAGACAGGAGCATGAGGTCATTGCAATGACAAGCTGGTTTGCAGGAACAGTGAAGCAGGGCAAAGCAGGTACAGGCAGGAAAGCAGGACCACAGGAAGGAAAAAGCAAGGGGGGGCAAGTAGACCCTACAGGTGAGCCCCTGCTCCCTCCAAGGTACCCAAAGAAAAATGGCTCCTGTTGTGTTGCAGCTAGCTGTTTTTATGTGCTAAGGCTCCTCCCATAGCCCAACTTCTCGAGCATTTTTAGTGGGCACTTTTTACAGGCATTCTTCGTGGGCATCTGGGCATTTGCCCTGTCAGCAAGTAGGGGGGTCGCTCGCAGTCCGATCGTGGAGGCTTTCTCTGCCCTGATTGGCTGCCAGGCAAAGTCTCCCTGGGTACAGGACTGCCAGTATATGCACAGTCCCTATAGGAATCTCCCACTTCATGTGTAACATATGTTGAGGCATAAACAAAAATCAGATTGGTCCCTCTCAATACATCCTTCAAAAAATGGAATAGATGTTACAAGGCCAGTAACTGTTCAATAAGCGTTATATTCAAACAGAATATAGAAAAGGAAGTAGTACACATGTGGCGATATAGCCACAACTGTAGTTGGGATAATGTATATTGGCACAACAAAAACTAACTTAGCCTCCACAATGCATTTTGCTACCTCTGAGACCCCCAATAAGACTACTGAAACCTTATCCCCACAGATTTCTAAAATTGGACCCTATGCCATCAAATATACAGGCCAGCAATAAGTGCTATTTAATTCTTCATGGTCCCTCAAATGAGTAAAAATGTCAATGCAGATCAATATCTCTGCAATTAAACCTGCCTGCTCACCACTCCTCTCTACATCCTATGCAGGGTGGTCAGCATGGCTGCATGGATGGACCCTCACCTCTCCAGAACGATCCAGGAGAGATGTGACGAGTATCCTGAGGACAGGATTAGGAGTAATAGCATGGATGCTGAAGTCCTAGCAAACAAAATAAACTCAGTAACAAGTGATTTGTACCAACTGGAACATCTATTACGATCTTCCTTACTAGCATTAAGAACTAACCAATGGCTCTTATCAGATATATTACCTCAACAGGAGAGGATTGACAAAAAGGATCACCAGCTAATAGTGAATGCTAGCTCTTAGTTGTATCCAAGCTCAACTGTGGATGCAATCTATGGTACCATCAATTATAAGAAAAGGTAAAGCAAGCACCTTACCCACTGAAATTTGAAAGAAAATCTGGGATAATGCAGCTGAATTTGAAAGGGAATTCCAATTCTGGTAGTATTTAGTAAATTTCACTTATGACCCCATCAACAATAAGGCCACAGCTTTTGTCTTAACCATACACAATGTTTTAGCATATACCATATACCTGATCATTGTGCTAGTATTAAATCACCGTGAAGCTGTTCTAGCCATTAGAACATAGAGCATGGGCCTAACAAAACAGAAATAAATGGCAAACTAATGATGTTAATGCATGCATTATATGAAGACAACAAGGATTTATTTGTGAGAGTAACACCAAAGCCCAAGACATTTGTCTTGACACTGAACAAAATGTTTGTCATTTTGAAATACATCCTGATGAAACCCTTGAAACTGTACTCATATATGTTGGATAAGGATGTGTTTGTATGAAAACCCTTTGTGATTTCATTTTTGTAGATAACATTACTGTAGATGTAAGCAATCACTCAAATGACTCATGTTTGTAACTTTAGTAAAGTTATTGGATGTGACTTATTCATCTCCTGTTAGTTCTTATCAATTGTTACAATCTAATTATAGGTTGAGCGAAGATTTATTGCCTACTCCCATCAGAATGAATCTTACATTGGTGAAGAAACTACTACAACATGATGACCCATGTCAACTGCTAGAACATGTCCAAAACGATGGACACAAAACTCTAATCATGGTTTATCATGATACTGAAGGGATACACCATGTTTTAGAAAGAGTGAAGAAGGATGAAAAACACCTTGTTGGGAAACTCTTCATGGATGGTCACCAACAGCAACAGGAGTGTTTAATCTTATGCTTCACTCAGTTGTGATTTTGCTAACTCCAACTTTGATATGTATATTGCTTATAATTATATTGCATATAAAGCTTTAGTACATGATAAAACAACACAACTTCAACCACCCAAAGCATACAAATCAATGAATAACAAATAGCAGTGCTTCACTATCTACTTACCATGGATCTATCACCACACAAACCATCTGTCGTTGCATGGCATCCCTGAACGGGTAATAATTAGCATTGACTCCACAATTCACAGAAGGCTGATCAAACCATCTTGATTAAGAAACCCATTGCTTTTATAGACAGTTACAATACAGGTGGAATTGATTGGTCCTTAGATCAAAACCCATCACCACTGGTTAATTAAGAAACCACTCTTTGTTAAACAAATCTCCATAACACATTCTACATGTTCACAATACCAGGTGCAGCAAGTGAAGATAAGAATTGTTTCTCATTCTTTTCTCGGATCTTCTCACAGCTTCCCAGGAAAACCCTGGGAGAGAGCTATGTCTCTCTCTGTTTAGAGGATATGTGATTTCCACACCTTACCACAATAGATGCTTGGTGATTAATAGCATGCTAAACTTTGAAATCTTAGCTAAGTGATACAAAAGATTGATTCTGCACATATAATCCTTTAGACATAAACTGTTGATCAAGTCTGAGACTAGGATTGAATTCCACTGAACCTAGACTCTTCTCTGAGGAGTTTAGAAAGCAAAGGAGTCCTTTCTGAACCTCATGACTCAATGGAAGGGTCTTCTCAACCACTTTATCTGACTGTGTCCTCTATGCAGTAAATAATCAAGTGTACCTTGCCATCAAATCTTGTCAAACCAGTCACATTTACCATTAAATCTCGTTAACTTAGTGTTTTATATCAATAAATAAAATTATTGTTGCTTCTCTAAGTGAAGTGCATCATTCCATTCACAACAAGACAAAACTCAATTCTGTTTTGGGCCCCTTTCAGCAAGTCACCTTTCCTTTAAGGGTCAAAGATCATTTAAGTCAACCTATCCACTGAATCCTCCAAATACTTGATGGGCCTATCTATCCTTACACATCTTCCATTACCTCTAGCTAGCTCTTAACATAGACTATCTCAAATTGGAAGGGATCCATAAGGATCATTAAGTCCAACTCTCGGCTCCTCACAGGACTACCTAAAACCAAACCATATGACTTGAGGGCATTGTCCAGATGCTCCTTGAACTCTGGCAGGCTTGGTGCTGTGACCACTTCCCTGGGGAGCCTGTTCCAGGGACCAACCAGCCCCTCAGTGAAGAACCTTTTCCTAAGGCCCAATCTGAACTTCCTGTGATGCAGATGCATTCCATTTCCAGGCATCCTATCACTGGTCACCAGAGATGAGATCATCACCTCTTCCTTGCTACCTGACCTTGAGGAAGTTGTAGACTGCAACAAGGTCATCTGCCTTCTCTTCTCCAAGCTGAACAAACCAAGTGACCTCAGCTGTTCCTCATAAGTCTTGCCCTCAAGACCTCTTACCATCTTGGTGCCCTTTTCTGGATGCAGTCTAATAGTTTGATGTCCTTCCTAATATTGAGGTGCCCCAAAATGCACACAGTACTCAAGGTGAAGCTGCACCAGTGCAGTGTAAAGGGGGACAATCATCTCCCTCAACCAGACAGAAATGCAGTGCTTGATACACCTCAGGACACACTTGTCCCTTTTGGTTGCCAGGGCACATGGTTGACTCATAATCAACTTGCCATCAATCCAAACTTACAGATCTCTTTCCACAGGGCCTCTCTTCCCCCAGTTTGGATGTTTTACATCAGTCCCAAACACTTAAAACAATACCCTACAAATCTTACCTAAAAAGATAAATGATATTATTAATAAATAAATGCGCTTACTGTTCTTGAATCAGAGAAAGGATTGTACTCATCTAGTCCTGGTGGAACATTTCTTGTCACTTGTGTAACAGAAGGATCCTAGAAGGGAAAACAGTTCTGTAAATGTATGCATATGTATACAAGCAACAAGTCAACACATATCATCATATCATATAAAACTCTAAAAAAGGTTATTTTCACCAAAAAAAAAAATCCATCTCTGTCTCCGAAACGACATCATCCTGAGCTTGTTAAATACCTTTATCCATAATCTGAATGAGAGGATTGATTTTACCCTAAGTAAGTTTGCAGACACCACCAAGTTGGGTACTGATCTGCTTGAGGGTAGGAGGGCTCTGGCAGAAGGATTTAGACAGGTTGGATCAATGGGCCCAGACCAATTGTATGAAGTTCAACAAGGCCAAGTGCTGGGTTCTGCACTTGGGTCACAACAACCCCCTGCAGTGCTACAGGCTTGGGGAAGAGTGGCTGGAAAGCTGCCCAGTGAAGGACCTGGGTGTGCTGGTCAACAGCCAGCTGAACGTGAGCCAGCATGTGCCCAGGTAGCCAATAAGGCCAATGGCATCCTGGCTTGTATCAGAAATAGTGTGACCAGCAGGGCTAGGGAAGTGATTGCCCCCCTGTCCTCAATATAGGTAAGGCCACACCTTGAACACTGTGGCCAGTTCTGGGCCCCTCACTACAGGGAGGGCATTGAGGTGCTGGAGTATGTCCAAAGAAGGGTAACAAAGCTGATGAAGGGTCTGGAATGTAAGTCCTAGAAGGAGCAGCTGAGGGAGCTGGGGTTGTTTAACCTGAAGAAAAGGAGGCTCAGGGGAAACCTAATCACTCAACTACCTGAAATGAGGCTGTGGCACAGTGGGGGTTGGCCTCTTCTCCCAGGCAACTAGCAACGGGAAAAGGGAAAATGACCTAAAGTTGTGCCAGGGGAGGTTCAGGTTGGATATTAGGAATAATTTCTTCACTAAAAGAATGTTAAAGCATTGAAACAGGCTCCCCAGGGAAGTGGTAGAGTCACCACCTGTTAAGGAATAGTTGGAACCCTAGGTTCTGAGGCAGAGTCAGTTTATTACAGCTCAAGCTGGGTGCCTTCAGAGAGGGACCCTAAACTGATATCTAAAGATTTTTAGTTTTTTAATATTTATTATATATTTGTAGCTTTGTAGATTGCTAATGCATGGTTGTAGCTCCTAGTACTTTTCCTACGCTTTTTCCTTACATTTTGGAACAATAAGCTAACCTTCTAACACATTCCTAAAATACTGTTTTGTCTTATTTTGAAGAAGAGAACCAACTACAAAGGCATTCTATTTTCCAACCAGAATCTGGGAAGACATAACAAAGTGGAGTAAAGAAGCCCCTGAACCAATTCCAGTGGGGTAGTACCCAGGGAAATATTACCAAACATACTAAACTTCTAATTGGACAATATATGATAGGTTTACTAATCAACTAACCTTATAAAAGTTGTAGAAATACTGTATCACATGCAGGTTTTGCCATATTGTCTACTTGAAGGCTTTTAAACAAAGGTTTGCTTTTATATTATCATTCTAACATTGTTTGGGAAGGTTTGTTCTATTTCTGGGCAACAGAACAAAGAAATCCCTGGGCCTTTATGCCCTTACAGTCTGTGCACCCTATCTTCACACGCTCTGCATGCATCTCTTGGTCCGATAGCGATTTCTAACACCTCATTGGATTCTTTCTCCATGTCCGTGTGGGCAGACCATTAACTGCTCTTATCTTCCAGCTTGGGCCAGCCTTGAGGCCCTCCAGGGTCTCAACCCTTATTTGAAGGTATCCAGTCTTTCTCTGTTTCCTCCCCTGCTTAGCCATTCATGCTGACAGAGTTCATTTAGAGTTCACCTACGCTGACTTTTGAGTAGGGCATGCTCATGCTAAGCTGTAAGCAAGTCACAATTCAACTTAAACCTACACAATTAATTTCTAATATTCTATAAGTAAACTTATTTTAATCCCCAACACCATCCCTGGAAGTGTTCAAAAAATGAGTAGACATGGCACTTCACTTTATGGTTTAGTGGGTATGGTGGTATTTGGTCAAAGGTTGGACACAATGATTTTCCAACTTTAATGATTCTATGATTCTTATAAAACTAGATTAACACAGTCTAAAAGAAACACCATGTCATACATTTGATTTTTAAGAGGAAAATGCTCTCAACAGATAAGGGAAGACAACTGTCCTTCTGTGTTGACCATTGGACTCCACAATTGTACATCCAAAGAACACAGAAAAAAAAAAGTTTTCTGTAAACTCTTGGTTTCCCTACCCAGAAGTACCTCCAACACCTTCAGCAATAGGAAAAGCATTTCAGAAAAATGAAGCTGAGGAAACAGTGTCCCATAATATCAAAAGCACCTCTGCTTCAGCTTCTACCTGAACTGGTAATATTAACAAAAAGATGTAATTTTTTCCTCCAATGAACTCTACAGTAAAAAAAAAAAAGCTTAAGGTTTAGCTTGAGAAAACAACTTCAAGAATTAAATATTTTTCTGTGCTAGAGAGAGGATGGCTTGATTCTGCAGAAGAGCCAAAGTACCCACTATCATAGACCACACTAACTTCCTAAGAAGAAAAATTGTACTTATTTCATGTGATGCCTGGTTTCACTACATTGTTTCTGTGGCTTAATTTAAGGTGTTTGCATCTTCAGAACATAAGAATGGATAGACTACCTGGATGTCCAGGTGTAGGCTGCTGGACTTGGAATTGTTCTGAACACATCAGCGAACAACTGATGCCAACAGGAACTGTACTTCATAATTCAAAACTACTTAAAATATTTCTAAAAAATTAGACCTGACATCCCAAGGAATACACAGAATTACTGTGAACCATTCACCTTACACTCATTGCATCTCACTTTAAAAATGGAGCCAATGCAAACTCATCTAAATGCAGCAAGAATAACTACAAAGCACTCCTACTTATTGCTGCAGAATAATAAAACACTGAATTTAGAAGTTAATCAGGATGTGAGTAATGAACATGTAGAACAAATGCTGTGCAGGACCACGTGCTCAAAGAAAAAGTGACATTTAAATGAATGCTATCAAATTTGTATGTCATGACATGTATCCTAGTGGTTAAAAAAGTGATAACTATGATATTCTATTGGAATAAGTAAGTCTACATTGGCATAACTTATTTTTCCATATTTGATATTTCACCTAGATAATAAAGTTCAAATACATTATTTTTTAGGGTTTTTTTAATATAAAGAAAGAGAAAAATGCCACAAATACAAGTTCCAATAGGTGATAATATACAGACACTAACACAAAGCTGCAGCGTTGCTGGAACCACCAAATATCCAGAGACCTCAACCCGCTGCATGATTTAAGTGATTAAAAATTCAGCTACCCTCTGCAAATACAGAAAATAGGCAATTTCTAAGAAAGATTTCAAATATCTGATGTCAGCTGCTGAATGCAACAACTGTAAAATGCCTTGTCCAATCTCGGACTGAGAAGGCTATGTCCTAGTGGACCAGTACTTCTACCCGAAATGGACCTGCCCTTGCACTAACTCCTTGCCACAACCTGGCTGTCTTCAGCCACCTAGCCATTTCAAGTCCCTGCTCCTTAAGAGTGTTGATCCCACTAATTATCATCTTGCTCACTCAACTTCTTGTTCACTCCTTCCAGTTCACAAGTCCTTCTCCAGCCTTATCTCTCCTAAGCTTCTGCCAATTCAGCACCTTGAGTTTCTGGTCTTTTAATTTAATTATTAGTCATACCAATCAGAGCATAATTTAAGTATAGGCCATTTTTCATAACCAGATATTGCAGCTATTGGTACACTGAAGTCACACAGTCATTTCAGATGACATTTTAAAGATCTGAATTAGTTCAGGAGACTGGAATTTTAACAAATCAGCACAACCTAATTAATTATTTTCCATCTAATCTTTAATTTTATCTGCTCCTTGCAGTCCCTCCCCCATAATATCAATCTCAAAAGCAAAGATTAGTATCACACTTGGTATAATGAGGAGTCAGGTCCAAGCAGCACCCCAGTGTTTACATCAAAAAAAGAAAAGTCAGGAAAAAAAACCAAAACCAAACAAAAGAAAACCAGAAAACCGCAGCACATATATCTCAAACATATAGAACTATTAAAAATGTCTCCTATGCTAGTGCATACGGACCCGCTGCTGTCCAAGGCTAACCCAATCAGTAATGGTGGTAGTGCCTCTGGGATAACATATTTAAGAAGGGGGCCCGGGAGGCAAACTCCTGTGCAAGGGCAGCCATAAGTGAGAACATGTGAGAGACTCTGCAGACACCAAGGTCAGTGAAGAAGGAAGGGGAGGAGGTGTTCCAGGCGCCGGAGCTGAGATTCCCCTGCAGCCTGTGGTGAAAAGTATCACATTTGAATAATAATAATTGTTAAAAAAGAGATAAATTAAATATCCACTGACTCAAAACCAACAATATTTTATGATCAATCCAAGCAAGCAAATACTTGAAAAAAAAATCTGTTTTATCAACTATTTTTTTTTACTTTCAGGAGATACCAAAACTGAAAAATAATTTCCTTTTAGACTTCCAAAAGAATTAACTACCCAAAATACTGAGCAAACTAGAGGTTTCTGCTTAACCTTTATCTTCCCAGAGAACATATTTTTTGATTCAACATCAAGTAAGAATATCTGCTGTAATCTTTTTATTAAAAGGCATGAGAATAGACACGGGAAATCTCACAAAGTAGATCACAAAAAATCAGTAAAACTAAAATATTAAAGAAAAAAAACTGCATCTATCTTTAGACCTTGGCAATAACTCTTCCACATGATGCTCCCCTCTCCTTTCCCTGCCATACTAATGACAGGAATAAGATGAATCTGTCTTTACAAACGTATTGTGTGAATCTGCTGGGAGATTGTGGACACTAACCTCTAGCGACGTGAATTTTCTGCACACTACTCTGTGATTTTACACAAGCACACGAAGCAGCTTCAAAGGTAAAGAAAATAAATAATCTCATTATATAAAACTGTTCCCCCCTCCCGAGGCCAGCACTACCCCACAGCGCTGCGCCTTCCCGACCCGCCGCGGCTGAGAGCGACCTCCCAGCACACAGCAGAGCCGAAAACACTCCCTCCCTAGGACACCCGTAGCTTCACGCAGCTTGTTCTGCTCCTGCCGCGGCACTGAGGAAGGCTCACGGCATCCCTGTCCCCTGCTGCTTCACCTTGAAAGGATTATTGAGGTCCGGGTCTGCAAAAGGATTGTTGTCGAAGTCCGACATGGCAGGCGCAAGCGGGTCGCTAGAATCACTGAGGAGCCGCTATCACCAACTGCTGCGACCGAAGTCCAACCCCAACAAGCCAAAGAACAAAATGGCTGCACCGGAAGCGAGATTGAGGAGCGGAAGCGCCCTGGAAGAGAAAGAAACTCCCACTCCCAGGGCGAGCAAGATAGAGTAGAGGTTGGAAGAGTTTTAGCTCTTATATACGTAGCTCTAGTGACTCAAGTAATCCGGTGGCTTCAGTGGGAGCAATTCAGGTGCCCAACACCCGAGGAGGAGTTTCACAATTAGAAAAGATACATGATTAGCCCAGGCTGTCTCCTCTCAACAAGTTCTTTCTACATCTTGCTTTCCAAATAGTAGAATTTCTTTTTTTGGGCTAGGTAAGAACTACCTACTTGCAATTAACCATTTCTAATTTTTGTACAAGATATAGCTCATAAATACATCCATTTGATTTTTAATATGCTAATAAGTTCATTGAAAAATAAGTTCCACTATTGAATGGGTGACTTTAAATAAAAAATACCCAGCCTCACAGAATTGGTTTCATTCAGTGATTTTCAATAATTCAGAAATAATTGCCTTCTTAGCAAACAAAATTGTCTTAATCTGAATTGGGCATTTTCTCAGAAAGAGTTTAAACTTCAACAAACAGTAGATTTCAACTGCTTGTGCAAGTACTGTATTTGTATGCTTGTGTATAAAAAATCTTGTGTAAGGAAACTTAAGCCAAATCCTGGTTCTCTCAATTTTCTATCACTTGTGGAATTTACAATGTTTATGCCAACCTCAGGTGGTGGTAAGGAGTGTTCAGATCAACTGAGAGGAAATGGGCTCAATGATCTTGAAGGTCTCTTCCAACCTAGTGATTCTGTGATTCTGTGAAAATCCATCAGGTTTTTCTCAATCCAAAATGCTTGAATGCTGAGTAGGCAACCAAGTGATGTCTTGAACAGATCTCTGTCCCAATCAAGTAAATCACAGTTTTACAGAGGATGTACCTTCAAAAAATAAAACCAAGCTGTAACAAATAACTTCTGAAAAAATGTTTCCTTTCATTAGAATGGAGAAGTCTATGCAGCATCAAATGCAAGCATAATTGTTAGAATAAAGAGGGATGGAGAATGTCAATGTGCAATGTTGCTATGTGAGCACTTATCTAAGGCTCTGTTACAGAAGTTACGCAAAATGAATGGCATGCAAGATTGACCAATTGCTAGAAACTCATGTAGAAGAAAGAAGCACGAAAACTCTATGGTAGTGTAAGTGCAAGGTACAACTTCAAATTAGATTATATGCAGATACTGGATTTAAAGTCTTGCTGAAAGTTTAGTGAGAAGACAGTCTGTTAGGTAAAACTACTTGAAGAGTTATTTGACAACAGCTCTTGGAAGAATTTAAAATAGAACATTTTTCTAGGTTCTACAGCAGACAGATTTACTTGAAAAATGTTGAAAATATTTTAACTTAGGAGAGAAAAAAGAGAAGTGTAATAATCAGGCATTTCCATATAATACTTAAAGATCGTGAACCACAATATTCCCCAATTATTTTTTGCTTTAATTTAAAAGAAAAAAAGTGTGGAGAAGATAGGAAAAATGGCAGAAATAACAGCAGCATTCAGAACTCTCAAAATCTGCTATGTGCAGGCTCCTATTTAATCTATCTTTCTCTTTCTTACAATCAATGAAGTCCTGGTTTTGCAAGATAATAAATCCAGTTTCAGTGTGCTGATTGCTGAATCTCAGTCTCTTGTTTCCATCATTACTGTGCTTTAACTCCATCTGGCAACTAAGTACGATGCAGATGCTCCCTCCCTCCACCCCGGTGGGGAGGAGAATCAGAAAAAAATTAAAACTTGTGGGTTGAAATAAGAACAGTTTAATAATTGAAACAAAGTAATCTACAATAATAATACTAACAATGACAATTATAATAACAACAATAACAATTGCAATGAAAAGGAGAGAGGAATAAAACCCAAGAGAAACAAGTGATGCACAATACAGTTGCTCACCACCCACTAGACCGATGCCCAGCCCATCCCTGAGCAGTGACTGGAGACTCCCTATCAACTCCCCCCAGTTTATATACTGAACATAACGTTCTATGGTATGGAATATCTGTTTGGCCAGTTCGGGTCAGCTGTCCTGGCCATGTTGCCTTCCAGCTTTTTGGAAACCTCCTCACTGGCAGAGCATGAGTCACTGAAAAGTCCTTAAGTTGAGCACTACTTAGCAACAAGTAAAACATCAGTGTGTTATCAACATTATTCTCATACTGAATTCAAAACACAGCACCGTAGCAGCTACTGAGAAGAAAATTACCTCTATCCCAGATAAAACCAGGACAATCATACAAAGTGTTGAGCCAATATAAACTTGTTTAAAGTAGTCTGAAGAGGTAGCTTTAGTATTATCCTGGGAGCAAGGCAGCTTTATCAGTTCTGCTGTTTTGCTCTTGCACCCTTTTCTGAAGGGTGAACCAGTGTAGCCAGCTCACAGACAGAGATGCGTAACCAAGCCAAAACTCTGGGGTTGCCTAACGGGTGCAACAGTGAATACTCACAGGCTGGTGAGTGTCTTGCCATTTTTATGTGAACCCTGACCACTTTCTGAAGCTGAACACTTAGATTTTCCCATTTTGTTCCAGAACTATAGCGGGATATTTTGAATTCTTCCCTGTGGAGAGTTCACCTTTTCAGAGGTAGGAGAAAGATTCCCAGAGCCATTTCAGCAAAGACTCCAAGATGAACTGCACAAACAGAGGTGCTTTAGAGCCAAGGATCATGCTGAGGGAGCGAGGAGAGCTTTCCTACTCTACAATACCTTGATACCAGAGCAGAGAAAGGCCTCCCAGCCCCTGTCCCGAGGGGAAAGCGGTGGAGCCGTGACTCAGAAGTGACTGTGACTCAGTGTGGGCAGTGTCAGCAGGGACAGTGCCCACCCCCACCCGTACAAAACCTGCCCCCAGGGATCGTGAGTGGCTTGGAATGTGGTGAATGTAGCGGGCCAACAAGGGCATGGTAGGGTGCTGCAGCTCAAGTAGTTAGCTCAGCTGGTAGTCATCACCCTTGCTGAGGAAGTTCAGATATGGTGTCCACTTGGATAAAAGTTGCTTCCTCTGTGCACACCAGAAAGGACATGGTGACCCACCCATGAAAGCATGCAGAGGTCCAGGTCTCAGTCTGCAGGGAGTGCCAGAGCCTGGTGCTGCTCTCAGAGGACAGCAAGGAGAACAGCAGTGTGAGGTGTGATCAGGTGGACGATCTGGTCAGCCTGGTGGCAGAGATGAGAGATGAAGTAGAAAGACTAAAGTATCAGGAACTCTGAGGAGGAGATTGACTGGTGGAGCTGCACTCTACCATGCCTTAGAAAAAGGGACCTGCTGTCCACAGGAAGCAATGGATCCCCCTACCCTCTCACCACCAGGTGGAAGGAGGGGACCTTAGAGCTGGAGGGGAATGGAAACAGGTTTCTGCTTGGGGTGGCAGGCAAATCTACTCCCAATCTACCTCACTTTCCCAGGTACCCTTATGTGATAGGTATGAAGCCCTGGAATCTGAGGACCAGGGTGTCGAGGTTTAGGGCAAATTTGGAGGAGAATTTCCAAATTAGGGCTCTTCCAGTAAGCAAACCCACACAGCCCCTCCCCCCAACCGGTTCGGGAAGGATTCCTCGGAGAGGAGTGGAAAGAACCTGTTTATTTAACAGGCACAGCACCCCCCAGCACAGAAAATGAACAATACCGGATGACACCACTCTGAAAAGAGATGATAAATTCAGAAAGTCTCTCTTGGGGGGTGGTCACTCTGTTCTCAGTCCCTCCGGCGCTGGGGCAGCTGCTGCAGGCCAGAAGGTGCAGGATCTTGGTGTTTCTCAGGTCCCAGTCCGGAGCAGGTTCGAAATGATCAGAAAAAGGAAAGGAGAAACCGTCCAGGAAGAAATTGGACAGTTTAGCTGAACTAGCTAAAGAGCAAAAGCAAGCAGAAGCGAAGCAAGCAAGAGCGAGAGAGCAAAAGCAAAAAGCAAAAGCAGCAAAAGCAAAAGCTGCAGTCTCTGTGTCCCGCCAGGCTGATAAGAAAACCAAAACAAAACTTTCCCTCTTCAGAGCCGGTCTTAAAGGTACAGAACATAATATCCAATATTAACAGAACACATGAATGGGGATACAAGCATCATAACGTCACCCTAGGACACAGGGAAACATGGATGAAGGTTCTTCTGGGATAGAGGTGTCACCCAGTGTGAAAAATGCATATTATATGATTGGCTCTTTGCAAATATTAAAATGAATACTATATGTGTTATGTTGGAAAGTTATGTTGTATTAATCTCTTTTAAGTAGTATAGTAAATATAGTTTTTAGGCTATAGCATAATATAAAAATAGAAACTATGTGATGTAAGATACTTTTTGTAACCGATCCAAGGAATGGAAAAGATAACCAAGAAATTCTTCTCATTATCCTCTCTGGATGGAGATACAACAGGATTCCAAGAAAATAATTATTGCCTCCTTATTGGGAAGGCCCAGACTCTGAGGAACCAGAGAAGACTGATTTACAAGATGAGGGGGGAAGCTGAAGTTAAGCAGCAAACACCTTTTGTTTGAAAAGAATTTTTGAATCATGTATGAAATATATGATTATGCAACAGGCTATTGCTTTTAAAGGTTAATCCTTTGTTAGCGAGCCATGCTTTTTGGGGCTTAGTGCCCAAGAAGCATTCGGACGTCCGTAGTTCTTTGTTTTTATTGTCCTTTATTGTCCTAACTCTGATTGTCCAAATTTTTAATGCTCTAATTTTTATTTCTAATTTTATAACTATTTTATTACTATTAAACTTTTAAAATTTTAAAACAAGTGATTGGTGTTTTTCACACCCAGGGCAGAGCAGCCTAGTGCCTGCATCATGACCTTCTCAGTTAAGAATAAAAGAAGTCTAGTCATTTGTGACTCCCTTTTGAGAGGAATGGAGGGCCCAATATGCTGACTGGACCCAACTCATAGGGAGGTGTGTTGCCTCCCAGGAGCCCAGGTAAGGGACATCACAAAGAAACT